ATGATTAATAATCTGCCATATTCCTCAATAGTTATGACAATGCCCACAGAGAATTGTATTCATTATTCCAGCTTTTTAGTCTCTTGGGTCAGAACTTGATAGGATGTTTTTTTCTTGGGGAAATTGCTATAACTTGCACAATGAATGTATGATACTGTAGTCATTTAAATAAAAATGTGTCTCCGGTTGATTCACCGTGTGAGGAATGCACTTCTTTCTATATATGAGATTCTCTTTGCCTTGGAACTCATTTATTTCATAACAGGTTTCATGAATCACTGCAAGCTTCCTTACAGATGCATCCTCATTGCTCTACGATTGCTTTATTACTAGCTATGCAACATTTTCTCCCCCAGCTCTTTGACTCGCCTTGCCGATCAAATGCAAAATATCGCCAATAGCTCTGAGAAAATTGATGAAGTTCTTGTCCCAATTAACCGATTCATCTTCATTAGGCCAGAGCAATTTCTATTATGGCTGCTAACAGAGACTGTTTGGAAATAGGTTCTAAATGAAGAAATTAAGATATAATTAGTCACCAAACTTACAGCAAATCTGGTGGACCTAAGAATAGATTCCTGACCTGTTTATTTAAAAACAGAATTTCTCTTTTGAGACAGAATCTTTTCCCCACAGTAATTATAAAGAAAATAGCTTCTGCCTATTTTTTCCCCTTTCCATTCTCCCAGTGATATTTGATGGGAATTGGGTGAAGATGACTTTTGCAAAAATGCCTGCTATCTTTATAATGAGTTCATCCTGCTCAACCTGGCACTTCTATAAAAAAACGCAGCTGGTAGTATTCTTCTGCCATAGTTCAGCTGAATACTTTGTGCAGGGCAGTAACTGTGTAGAGGGATAAAGCATTCAATAGCTGGAGTTTTGGATTATGCAGAATATGCCCTGAGGCTGTAAGAGCCTGGATAGAGAAGAACTGGCTGGATCTCAACTCTGACAAGACAAGTGGCTTTAGGCTTTTGAGCTCCTCTCCATTGGCTTATCATTATTGACTCTGGATCTGGATAGCATTCCCTCAAGCAGAGTTGGTGTCCAGTTTGGAGGTCCTCTTTGTGTTATGACTCCTTCTGAAAGAGCATATGGCGGCCATAGTCAGGGAGAGGCTTTGTGAAAATTAATACTAGTTGTCAGTTGAATCCATTCCTAGATCAAGGTGCTCTCCTTGCAATCCCTCTTTTCACAGTCAATTATTAGTCACTTCCTGACTGCATTACTACGAGATCTTCTGCCCATCTTGCTAGATCCAATATTGAGAGTGTGTTCCAGGTCCCTCCCCCTTAAACATTGTTATCTGGTAGAACATCAGAGATGCACCTCTTCTATTGTAGTTGCACAACCTCTTGGACAGTCTTTCTCTGATAGTTGGAGGTCCCCCCACTCTCTTAACCTGCTGGAAGGTTGGGAAAACACCTCTATCTTAGCCCTTAGCATTGGACTAAAATGGAGATGAGCCAGTGGTGGAAGCTATGGTGGAAAATGTGATGCTAGTTTGTATCGGTGATATGATTGTTTCACTGGTTTTGTTCCAAGAAGTATTGCATAATAGATGGAGGGATGGATGGATGGATGGATGGATGGATAGAGAGATAGATAGATTTCATTTTAGAAAAAGGAAATCCAATCAAATGTTTATTGTCAGTGCACAACATGTGTACAATGAAATTGAAAAGAAGAGAACAATACGGAACTTCAGAAAGGACCTCATGTTTTGATTTGGAAACTGTTCAAGATTCAGCCAGTGGAATACTTCAACTATCAATTTAAAAGTTTTAAAAAAACCCACAAAAAAGATATACCATACACAAGTTCCTTTTTATGAACTGCACAAATTTTATTCGATTCTTTAAAGAAGTATCAAAGGAATAATAAACATGTAATTTTTGTTACACAAAGGCAATTATTTTAGCAGTAGTCATGTTGTCTACATAGAAAACAATGATTTCCTCTTTTGAGAATGAGTCTATTTTCTTTCCAGGTTCATATGATTCCTTCCCAGTGGGGCATTAACATACTGTTTCCGCTTTTTGATTTAATTGTAGTTTAGGCTGTTGTTTGAAGTGTAAATTATAATTAATTTTACCTATTTTATTGTAGTTATTAATACGATAATTATATGGGATGAGCTATATTCAATCATTAAAAAGGATGAATTATGCCTAATTGAAACGGAAAGCAATAGCTTCTAAGTTTCCCCATTTAGCTAATAGACCATCAATTGTTGGGGGTTTTCTTGGCTGTGAGCTCAGCTTCTTTGGAGAAGATTCTCCAATAGTAATAAAATGAACCCATAATGAATGACCTTTAAATATCTGCCTTAATACTGTTCATAAACCTACAGCCTACACAAATTTATTCTGAATCATTGTCAGAAGTACTGAAGTGCTTTATAGAATTACTTTGCCTGTGACATTTTAGTAAATGATTAGCAATTAACTATCCCAAATATGGGTACAGTTTTCATTCAGAATAAACAGCTTTATTCAGTTGCATGTATCTGGGTGACAAAAGTTTAAAGACAATAGCATTCCCATGTATTACCTGTGCCGAGCTATAAAGAGGAGAGTGGCCTGCAGGAACAGCCCCGAATAAATGCTTTTTGAAAGGCAACTGGATTTTCTTGGTTTTTTTTTAAACTTGAAAATGCTTCTCATCCAAGAAGCTTCAGAACTGAAGAAGCTTCTTGGACGAGAAGCAAACTGTTTTCAAGGAAATTCCTAAGAAAGGCCAGCTTCCTTTCGAAAAGCACCTTTGGGACAACCATATCCTATAAGGATTGAGAAGCTCCATAGATGTCCTGCAGGAACTGCTTTCCCATGGGCAGCCACAGGTCTTGCTGTACAATTCAGATGGCTCTGGAGACCTGGAACACTAATTGTATTGATTAAGGTGAAGATGTTTGATAGCTGCCTCACAACTTCTTGGATTTACCACACCACTTCACCTCATGAAGAAGTCAGGGAGAGGCGGACCAAGGCATAAGTTGGAGGTTAGAACATAGGGATGACTGGTTGGAAATGAAAGTGTGAGGAAGAGGATAGGAATTAAATGAAGAGTAGGATAGTTTGTGGGATGACCGGGCTCTTTTGAAGGTATGGAGTAAATAGAAGGTGTTGGAAAGGGTTTGGACGTTTGGAATATGATTCTGATGTGGCTTTGTAGATGGGACAGTAATCTTAATCCATCTGTCAGAAATGGTGTAGGGTCTCCTGCTTGGGAGGGAGGGTTGGACTAGAACAGTGGTTGCCAACCAGTGGGCCAGGGACCACCGGTGGTCCTTGAGAAAATTTTGGTGGTCTGCAGAGAAATGTCCCCCCCTAAAACAAATAATCCAGGCTGCACAGGAACACAAGGCTGCGTCAGCCACCTGGCCCACAGGAACACAAGGCTTGTGTCGCTTGCATTGGGAACAACATGAGGTAGTGAGAGGTGGAGGGAAAGGGTGGAGGGGAGGACTTGCCCCACGCGCCTGGCCTGGCCATCGGGCTTCTTCTTTCTGCTTCTTTCTTCTTCTGTTTTTGGCTGCACGCAAGGAAAGCAGCAAAAGTCTTTCTTTCTCTCCCCCAAACTCCACCAGAAATGAGTCTTTGGGACACTACAAGGCCTCCTTCTCTAAAAAGGCTGTGCCGGATTGACAAGTCTCACAAAGACTCATTTCTGGCGGAGTTTGGGGGAGAGAAAGAAAAACTTCCACGGCTTCTGCTGCTCTCCTTCTCTCCCTCACTGAGAACGGAGCTGGAGATGGGATCCCGCGATCCCAAATAAAGAATGATCGATCAGTAGGAAAACAGGGTGGAGGATTTTCCTGCAGACTTTTTGGGGGATTTTCCCAGGGTCTCTGGTCCACGGGATTTGAAATGATGAGTTTGGTGGTCCCTGAGGTCCAAAAGGCTGGTGACCCCTGGACTAGAACACTAGATGACCTCTAAGAACCCTCCCATCTCTGTTGTTGTGTATTCTTTACTGAAAGTCACTCTTTATGATTCTCTTATTCCTTCACCATTCCCAAGCCAGGTTCACATTTGACTTTAACCAAAAGTTCCAAGAAGTGATAGGTTTATATTCCTTTATAGGGTAGGGTTCTTAGTTTCCATGACCACCATGGAGGTAATACTAGGTCTAACTCATTTAAAGCAGTTTGGTTAGGAACTAAAGATTGGGTGGCTCTTCCCCCGCTTCTTTATTCTTTTAACATTTAAACGAAGCCTCTGTGAGAGAAATCATCCATTGTTTGAGGGTGCAGTTACTACCAACATGCTAATCTTATCCAGATATACAGCTGTAATTGGAAACTGCCTCTAAGGGAAGCTTGGAGAGGATTGTTGTGTCCATGTTATATCCTGTAGTAGAAGGAGATTAAAATTGCCTATTGGAAGCTAAGATGATACCCTGCATTTTCTACAAGGGCCATCTATCTAGTAATTACTGAGTTATGAGCAGGTGCTTGACAATGATAGGAAACAGGATAACAGTTCCCCCCTCCCTCCCATGAACTGTCTTCTACTTACAGTTCCTTCTTCAATCTGTTGTGTCCAACTCAGGAATAGCTATTGCTGCAGAACAAAAGATAAGAACTGAATTTAGTATGTGTCATTTACACCTAAGTTAAAAAAAAGTATCCTGCCTCTTATTTCTTTTAATAAAAAACATTAAGGGATTATAGTTATAATACAACAGCCCAACTAAGTTTAAAATACATTTCAAATAGTATCTGTATTCATTGCTTCTCAAAACTTGCTCAGAAATGCACATATTTTTTTATTTTAGATGTCTGGACACATAATTCACATGGTTAAAATATTTGGTACACGTAGAGACAAGTCACGTCATCCACCTGGAAATGTAAAAAGTTATACAGATACTTAAGACCATCAATATGATAGCAGCTAATTCGTAGGTAGCAGAACTGGTGTCTTATATATTTACTGAACATGAATTAAACTGCTAAATCATCTATTTTTCCCCCCCTTTCTCTCTTTTTGCAGGCAAGAGGAGCAGACATCCCTGAGATTTCTGGAGAGTTATCCTTGCGTACCTGCGGCAGCACAGCTAGCATGAAAGTGAAGAATGTGAAAAAGTAAGATGTTTTGTTTCATCCTTGCAAACTTCAGTGACATTCTTGGTATTCCTAAATGTTGACTCCTAAGATACCAGTTGACTTGTTGTCGATACAGAGGTGGAATAGGTAAAATTAGTTCCTGTTGCACAAGGGCAATAGGAGATAAAAGGTAAAGATTTCCTCTGTCTAGTCATGTCTGACCTCTAGAGTGTGGTAGCTCATCTTTGTTTCTTGGTTGAGGGAGACTGTCATGTGATCACCATGGCACTACATGGGGGGGGGGTCAAACTTGCAGCCCACAGGCTGGATGTGTCATGCGCTGGCCACGCCCACCCCTGGTTTAGCGAAGGGGGGGAAAGTCGTGATACCTCATGTGATGACAATGTGGCACCACAAGTTTGACCCTCCTGCTCTGAACCAAAGCCTCACAGAACCCTGTTACCCTCTGACCAAAATGGTACCTATTGTTCTCCAATGAGCTGCTCTGAGCCTCCAGCAGTGGGAGATGCTTAGACTTAGCTCGGATAGGCTGGGCTTGATTGATAGGGCGCTCCTCCTTCTCGACGTACTCCTCCTTAGCGTCCCCCAGTTTTAGCTCAGCCTTTGTGAGGTAGGCAGCTTGGTTGTTCCTTGGCCGGACTAGGAGGAATTAAACAGGTTCAAACTACAACTTAATAATCAATTCTAAATTCTTTTCAAACAAACATTTTTCTGGCGGCAAATTGGCAAAGACTGCTGTCGGAATACAGATTGGCTCCCCAGGGAGTTCTCAGCTGCTTCCGCGGCGATCGGAAAAGCTCACAACCACTTGACCGAAACGGTACCTATTGATCTACTCTCATTTCGAACTTTCGAACTGCTAAGTGGGCAGGAGCTGGGGCAGGAACGGAACTCACCCCATTGCATGGCGCTCAGGTCTCGAACCGGGCTTGCAGCCTTCCAGCTGACAAGCTCAGTGTCTTTAACTGCTGAGCCATTGTGTCCCCCCTGCCTCTTCAGTAGGAAATATGCTCACTTATAAACAGAAAGCCTGCCCACATTGTCTGCCTCCCCCTCCCCCCTTTTTAACCTCTAGGAACCAAGGCAGGCCAAGAGCTGAAGTGTTTTAGTGCTTTATTTTTCCTTCTTCTGTTACAATTGTGCAGAACTCCGAAATTAAAATGGCTGATTTCTGAACTGGTTAAGGGGTTGGGAGGGAACCATGGGATTCTGTGCTGCATCCCCGCTACCAGAGTAACTATCATTAACAGATCTCTGTATCAACCACTGTTTAAAGCCAGCTCATGTCTACTTTCATCTTCTGTGCCCTCAGGCTGCAGTCTTTGGTGTAGTGGCTTCCACAGATAGAGAGAGCTTTATCTTAACTGCAACCTTGTCATTGGGATGAACTAACTCTTATCTCATTGCTTTTGATTTTGGTAGCAGAGCCTCATATCTCAAATCAGACATCAGGACAAGCTTTAGATTAGGTTCTTTAGGTTTATGTTTTCTCTTGATGGCTAGCTAAATCAAAGCACAAACTTTCTACACGTAAGGAGAAAAAGTGCCTCCAACTATCACTTACAGGGAAAGTACAGTGAAATGTGTACCTTAACTATCATAAGTTTGAGAAGGTCCTTTTTTGAAGTGAGCTTCACTTCCTTTCTTCTTCTCTAATCCCCTCTGTTCCAATTTAATCTGCTGGTAGGGTGGACTTGTATTCGATCCATCTTTGGCTCCAGTAATGATTTGAAATTCAGAAAACTGTCCAGGAATAGATTTGTTCCGAACTCTCATCAATCATGTGCTGATTCTGCAGGAGAAGCTGATGACCCTGTTTTCTAGTGGGGAAAGACCAGGTGCTAAATCTCATTTCTCTTTTAAAGTCCTAAGGGAAGAATGAATGATGATCAAACATTCTTTGTTCACCACCAAAAATGCGCTCCAGGACACTAAAACAGTTTCTGCACTGCTAAAATATATCCTCAGCAATACCTATCATTTTGTAACCTCAGGTCAAAGCTAGAAAATAATTAAAATACATGTTGGGATCCCAGATCTACCAGTATAGAACTGATAGACTCTTAATTATTTTCACAGATAATTTCTGTCAGTTGGGATAGATATATGAAGTTTATTTATGTTCCTTGGTTCATTCTCTATCCTTCAATCTTCTAGCTGTCTTGGCACTAAAGGATGAACTTCTTGCCTCCATATTTCATTTTCAGGTGCAGACTCTTTTTAGCTGGAATCGGTCTTCTAACAACAAATAATACTTGTTAGTTTGCTTTCTTCCGTAGAAACCTTTTCTTTATTGTTTCTTTGTGTTATATAGACTATACTCCACGTTCTGTGGGATTCGGAACAATAAGACACTCTGACGACAATGTCAGGATGACATTGATTTACTTGATTAAAATGTCAGTTCTGATTTCTGCAATAATATACTCCAAACTTGTTCCCTGTCTTTCAGATTGTCCTTCACCAAAGGCCATTTTCCAAAGATGGCAGAATGTGCACACTTCCATTATGAAAATGTGGACTTTGGCAATATACAGGTGAGAATGTTAAATCGGGTTAAACTCTTTCATGCGTTGTCATGGAGATGCTTTGTCTTTAGCACGTATTTTCTAAACCTCACCTAATAGTCCTGTACTTTTATCTCCTGCCTGTTTTGCAGTCTTGCATTTAATTTCCAAACTTCCTGCTTCCACAGTGATTTATAGAACAGCAGGCTCTGTTATTCATGCCCATTGCATCACATACTGTCAGTCCTGTTTTGAATCCTTAATCTTTCCCTGTATTTGAATGAACATAATCATTTCTAGAAAGGACGTGGTGGCTCAGTGGCTAAGATGCTGAGCTTGTCAAATAAGAAAGGTCGGCAGTTCGAATCCCTAGCACTGCGTAACGGAGTGAGCTTCCGTTACTTGTTCCAGCTTCTGCCAACCTAGCCATTCAAAAGCATGTAAAAATGCAAGTAGAAAAATAGGGACCACTTTGGTGGGAAGGTAACAGCGTTCCATGCGCTAATGCCAGCCACATGACCATGGAGACGTCTTTGGACAGCAATGGCTCTTCGGCTTTTTAACGGAGATCAGCACCGCCCCCTAGAGCCAGAAATGACTAGCACATATATGCGAGGGGAACCTTTTCCTAAT